TGGAGGACATGACATAGGGCAGTTCCCAGGACTGGAATCTGTTGATCAGACCACAAAGGCCCCGGCTTTAACACTCACTACATGAATTATCCTGAACCAGTTTTTTTTTTTGTAAGTTCTTAAGCAATTGTTGTTGGTAATTCAGGTTAGTTTTTTCTTTTCAATGTAGATATTTTCTTCTTTCTGCACACATTTTAATGCTCATTCTTATTTCCTACGAAGGACGATTAGTTGGTCAAAGCGAGTGAACAAAATAAGACTCACTATCAGAACAAGCAATCTGCTATGCTGATTATAGACATACTTGATCTTATATCACTTTTGCTTAGCAGCTCATGGAAAGGTACCAAATCTTCCGCATACTGGTAGTGCCTTCAGAATGATAACTATAGGATTTCAAGTTGGATATAACCTTGTTCTGCTTTCAGGTTCCTACTTGATGCCATATAATCGAAGCCGAATGGGATTTCCTGCACCTTCGTTCTTAGGTTGAAAAGAAAACTACTCAGAAGTCAAACCCTAATGTCATTTGAATCTCAGCTGGTGAGCAAGTTTACTAAATGTTGATTCAGAAAGAAATTTTTGTAGCTTGAATATGCAGTGCGGTGTAGATGCACGGCTACTATGAGTACATATGGATGATTTGGTAGGTATCCTAGAAAAATATTATTAGTAGGTAGGTAGTTTTTCCCAAGGAAATTATTCTTGACAATTCTGTGTTCTGGTCATAAAAGGACTGCCATTGCTATGAAGTTTGTGAATGAAAATAGTGTTATACTCGAGTCAGTAGCTGAAAGAACCATTTCTTGCTAAAGGAATACTCTTAAATAATACGAGAAAACCAGAATTATATCAAGCAAAGAACACTTTTTGCATTGTTGGTTAGACCTTACAGCAATGAACATCAAACTAACAAGATCTGCTTTAATGAAAGAGATTGTTATCATGGTCTTTTAACAATGAAAAACCTTACTGCGATACAAATTCAATTAACTGTGCATCAACTTGAAATAAGTTTGTCTTTCAAAATAATCTTCAGTGTAAGCAGACATTGGTTGGATTTCATTGCATAACGATGACCTACTATGCACGAACACAACTTGGAGGGGACTGCCACATTAGTTGTCTTATCAATTTAAATCGATAATGGCCAGAAGGAATGAGTGTCGAACTACACCATTTTCTCACACAGCCGTTACCTCAGATGGCATGACACAAGTACAGAGGACTGCCCTAGGTAGTGCTTACAAGTATAAGAATAGCAATTACATCTCGGTCTTAAACAAGTTGTGGTCGATTATATGAATCATCACTTCTTTATTTAAGCTAAACTCATGGCGCTTAGAAGAACCATCAGGTTGGTCCTTTCACAAACAAGTAGCACCATTGTTGAGTTTCTTCCTAACAACCATTTGCGAAAATAGCATATCGTAGAGCAACGCAAAAAGCATATAGGAAGATCCTACCGAATACGTCCGGGACTACACCACGGGTCTAAAGACCAATTTCTATTCTATTCTCTAAAATTCTTATTTCTCTTTCCATTTACTAAGCCTCTTTTGCCCCTCAACTCCATCCAAATGTCGTTTAAGTATTTGACACACAAACCATTTAATAGTGGAGTATCAATTATAATAATATTGTACTTTACCTCTCTTTCGAATAATTAATGCCTTTTTATTTTCCAAAATGGAAAAAGGCAAAGCTAGCAGTTACGGCGGCCAAGACTGCAACTTTTAGTCATTTGTATGAGGAACTCGAGAGCCGAGGTGGGGATAAGAGGTTGTTCAGGTTAGTCAAGGCGCGTGACTTGGACCAAGTGAAGTGCATCAAGGACGAAGAAGGTAGAGTTTTGTTGGATGAGGGGCTTATCCGTCGGAGATGGCAGACATACTTCCATAGTCTCTTGAACGAGGAGGGGGATAAGAGCATTATACTGGGTGATTCGGAACTCTCCGGGAGTCGTTGTGACTTTGGGTATTGTAGGCGGATTAGAGTTGATGAAGTTGAGGGGGCTATGCGTAAGATGAGCAAGGGCAAAGCGACCGGGCCGGATGAAATCTCGATGAAGTTTTAGAAGAGAGCAGGCAAAACAGGCTTGGAGTGGCTCACTAAATTATTTAATATCATTTTTAGAGCGAATAAGATTCCCGAAGAGTGGAGGCGGAGCACGATGGTTCCTGTATACAAGAACAAGGGTGATATTCAAAATTGCAATAACTATCGGGGTATCAAGCTGCTTAGCCATACTATGAAAGTCTGGGAGAGAGTGGTAGAGCTAAGGGTGAGGAAGAGTGTGCCTATTTTCGAGAACCAGTTCGGATTTATGCCGGGGCGTTCGACTGCCGAATCCATCCACCTTGTTAGGAGATTGATGGAGCAGTATAGGGAGAGAAAGAAGGACTTGCATATGGTGTTCATCGACTTAGAAAAGACGTACGATAAAGTTCCGAGGGAAGTTTTGTGGAGATGTTTGGAGGCTAAAGGTGTACCGGTTGCCTACGTTAGGTTGATTAAGGACATGTATGATGGAGTAAAGACTCGAGTGAGGACAGTGGGTGGGGACTCGGACCATTTTTCGGTTATGATGGGGTTGCATCAAGGGTCAGCACTCAACCTTTTTTTGTTTGCTCTGGTGATGGACGTACTGACGCGCCACATCCAATGGGAGGTGCCGTGGTGTATGTTATTTGCAGATGATATTGTATTATCGATTGACGAGATGCAAGACAGTGTGAACGCGCAATTAGAGGTATGGAGGCAGACCCTGGAATCTAAAGGTTTCAAGTTGAGCAGGACCAAGACAGAATACTTGGAGTATAAGTTCAGTGGCGAGACTCAAGGAGGGGAAGGGGAGATGAGGCTGGACTCGCAAGTCATCCCTAGGAGAGAGAGTTTTAAGTACCTTGAGTCTATTATTCAGGGAGATGGGGAGATTGATGAAGATGTCACCCATCGTATTGGGGCGGGATGGATGATATGGAGAATCGTTTCCGGTGTTTTGTGTGACAAGAAGGTGCCACCAAAATTTAAGGGTAAGTTCTACAGAGTGGTGGTCAGACCAACGATGTTGTATGTGGCTGAGTGTTGGCCAGTCAAGATCATTCATGTGCAGAAGATGAAGGTAGCAGATATGAGGATGTTGAGATGGATGTGCGGGCACACCAGGTTAGATAGAATCAGAAATGAGGTTATTCACGATAAGGTGGGTGTGGCCCCTATTGAGGACAAGATGCGGGAAGCGCGACTTAGATAGTTTGGCAGGGGCGACTCAATAAATATGGAGGCCTAAAGCAAAACTTTAATGAGGGGCATTTTTTTTTATAATATATAAAAGAAAAAATTCATATATAATTTCATTTAAATTATGTATTTCTAATTTTTCATATGCAAAGTTATTAATAATTTTATCTAATCCATTTAATTTCTCTTGAGATATACACGTTGTGGGACAGTATTAAGGTTTGAACCTTTTTTGAGTTATGAATTAATAATCAAATCTTTTCTCAATTTATGGTCTAGAGAGTGATTCCCAAAAAGATATTTTTCTCAATTTATGATCAACAATTTAATCCTACTTTTTTACTATAAAAATTTATACTTTCTCACTTAAAATATTAAATATTCTTCTAAAAATAAATTAATATATAACCTATTAGAAAAATTTGGGCCCCCAAAAATTATGAGGCCCAAAGCAGCTGCTTTAGCAGCCTTACCCTTGGGCCGACAATATGGTTTGGTCATGTGAAGAGGAGGAACACATACGCCCCGGTGAGAAGGTGTGAGAGGTTAACATTAGAGGGCCTACGAAGAGGTAGAGGTAGGCCAAAGAAGAGGTGGGGAGAGGTGATTAGGCAAGACATGGCGCAACTTCTGTTGACCGAGGACATGACCATTGATAGAAAGGTATGGAGGTCGTGGATTAGAGTAGTAGAGTAGGTAGTCTAGAGTGTTCATAACAGTAGTATTGGCACGCAGTCTCGCATTCTGTTGGTAGTACGTTTTTATGACTAACCGTTATTTTCTTTCATCGCTGATCACCTTACTGTCTTGTTGTTTTTATTCTGCTTTTATATGTCTTTTTGGTACTGTCCCTTTTTGTCTATATTTTCATTAATGTGGTGCTTATACTTTCCTGAGCCGAGGGTCTATTGGAAACATCCTCTTTATCCTCACAAGGTAAGGGTAAGGTCTACGTACATACTACCCTCCCCAGACCTCACGGTGTGGGATAATACTGAGTATGTTGTTATAAACAAAAAAAGACCAAATATACCCTTGTACTGTAAGAAAAAGTTTAAATATATCCCTCATTATACTTTGGGTCCAAATATACCCATGTTGTTACCCTATTTGTTCAAATATACCCTTCTTCCGTTAAATTTGTCCAAGATGTACATCTAATCCTACGTGGCACCGACATCTGATGAGGTAGATGCCACGTGGCATGCCACCTCAGCGCCCCTTACCCATTTTACCCTTCCCCTATATTTTCTTCCACCACTAAAATTCCTTCCCCTCCACCCCCATTGCCACCATTACCATCATCATGAACAATATTGAATTTTCAGCTAGTCAACTCAGGTCAAAGCGGAGTATCTGAACAATATGAGTATGGTGAAAATTCAATATTGTTCATGGTAGGGTTATGATGGTAATAGTGGCGGAGGGGAAGAAAATTTTAGTGGTGAAAAAATAAATAGAGTGGAGGAATAAAATGGATTAGGGGCGCTGAGGTGAGGTATATTTAAACTCAAAGTATAAGGAGAGATATATTTAATCCTTTTCTTATATTACAAGGTATATTTGGACTTTTTGATTTCCTAAAAGGTTTACCCAAATTAATTTGACTTAAACAACACTTATTTTGGATGAAAAGAAATAGTAAAAAAAGTAGAGAGAAAAAAAAGAGACCAATGACCATAGTCGACGACTGCTGTAATTTACACCAACACAAGAAAATTGTAAACCCAAATCCCAATATAACCTCTCCTTCTTGTGACATCCCCTCACCCCTCTCCTCTCCTCTCCCTCCCTCTCCTTACTTCCCCTGTTTCTCCATCTTCTACAGTTCTTCACAAACTCCTCAAAATTTCCACAATCCATTTTCACTTTCTTGATCCAAATTTCAAGAAATGAGGATCAGAAAATCCACACCCAATTCATCTTCTTCACCTTCTTCCTCATCCCTTTCTTCATCATCTTCATCTTCTTCATACAGCTTTTCCTCATTAACCAACAATTCTTTAGCTTCATCTACAGATTCATCTTCCTCAACACCTTCAACAACTTCAACTTCAACTTGTACTACTACCAGATGTCAAGGCCTCGATCTGCTTGTCAAAGCCATTCATTTAGTCACTGCTGGTTCTGTTGTGGGTGTCCCTTACATTCAGAAAAGAGTCATTACTAGGAGGAGAAGAAGAATTATCAGCTTTGACAGTCTTTTTATAGCTGGGATCAACTTTAAAGGCAGTGAATTGCCTAAAAGGCAACAAAGGAAGCAGAGATTGAAAAGTGTTCCTACTAAGTATCAAGATTCTGTGCTGATTCAGTCATCTAAACCTAAACCCAAAAGCAAAAGACTTCAGAGATCTGCTAAAAAGACTTGTGAGCAATTGGGGTCTTGAAAAAACTTTTTTTTTTAATTATCTTCTTATTTCAAGATCTTAGATGATCTTTTCTTTAGAGGTATTAATTTGCTAAAGTATATCTTTTTGATATTTTCTGGGGTTGAGTAATTTTTTGTGTTTCTGGAATTTTGAATATGTTATTAAGTGTATTGA